ATGTAATAGAAATAATTGTGTTCTCTTGAAGTTACACTTTTAACAAAAACTAATCATTTATTATTAACTAAATTGAGACTGACTACAGTATATCATCCATAATTAATTCTTAGGTTATGATTCAAGATCAACATACTCACTTATTGTGAGTGAAAAGGCAGACTCTTAACCACTTGAAATCTTCCTATATGTAAATAGAAGTTCTCTTCGAAAAAACAGTATCTCATACAAATTAATTAACTAACTCACGTTTAAGAGTTGAAAACTAAACGACTTTCCTGTGTTTCGCAGGTACACGAAGTCTAATTTGATTCGTTAAACCAGAAATTCGTTCACAATCTAATAATACAAGAACATAACAAATCGATTATTTTCCTACGATTTTTCAGTGGGTCCTATTCTCATTCCAAGTCGCTAAAATGTGAAATTATAATTATGATCATATAACGCGACAGATTCTCTTCTATTGTCCTTGAAACAAAACTCGAAAGCACGAACGAAATGGAGAAAGAATTCAACGAAGTCTGAAGGAAAATAGACCACTCTCGAACCCGATTCCACAAAGAACTGATGGTTCGAGCTACAGACGAGCCAGAGGAACGTCGAGACGGTGGTTATCGATGCGCGAAATCTTGCAAAGTGGGTAAAGTATCACGCTAGAAGCTTGGGCACGATAGGACAGTACGAGGTCTCCTTTTTGCTCTTGGTCCGATTCCATCCCTTACTATGGCCTAAAAACCAGACGGTCCTTGTCAAGATCGTACGCCGATTCGTCAGATTTGAATGCCCTATAGTTTGATCACGTATTACCACGTCACAATACGACGGCCTTCTTCCAACGAATATCCTTTCACCCATCTTTGATCGTCTCGAAACTCCACCCACCCACGAAAACGCTTCTTCTGTTTCCTTTCTACGATCGTATCTGCGATATATATATATATATATATATATATATCGATAGGTCAACAAGGGTCTTCCCTGGACTTTTCATTCGTGATTAATTCGTCCCTGGATATCAATGAGAAAAGAAAAACAAAAAAAAAGAAAATCGATATCGGCAATGGTTGAAGAAACGGAACAGGAGCAACGAACTTGGGCAGCCAGCTCTCGGTTGCGGAAGTTGTTAGTTTTCCTTCTAAGTTCGAGCTTTTTTTCTGTCTCTGTCGGAGTTTGGAATATTCGTGGAGGGGATAGGGGATGGGCTGAACTCAAGGTTCGTGGCTCGTAGAGGATGTTGTTTAGCTGTTTTGTAAGAAATTTTTCTCTGAAACGAGATTAACATTGTCTGGAATCTTGTTCGATGGTTTTTTTTCTTCGATGCTCGTGATTAGGAGTCTATCCGATTCTTGTGACTTGAGTGTAAAATCGCTGGATTATTGGGTCAGCTTTCGCTGTTCTTCCGGTAATTCTTCGCGCAAACAAAATTTAAATTATCGTCACGTTCCCACGGTGACATTGCCTTCGCAGGAAATCCGCTTGGAAAAATTGGAAAACACGCTTTCCTCTTTTTAAAAACGCGTTAGCTATTACCTCGAGAATCCAGAGTCATGAACCAAAATCATGAATGCTGTGAATATTCATAAATTTGGCGACTAGACTCCGGATTTTCACAGAAATTTACAGTTTTGTGAAAACAAAGAAAATGGTAGAGTCTGGACGGAGATATGCTTCATTATCAATTTACTACAAATATTATATTGCAGTTGTACAGGTTTTAAAAAGCTAGCTTAGTTTCTTCTTGCTTATCACGACTAATAACAGTGGCCGAACCATTTTGCATCAAAGAGATAAGATAATTATCGTATCATCCTCGTATTTCCGTGCACTGTCCATCTTTGCATCCTTAAATCTCTCATAAATGCATATAAAAGTTCCATCAATGACCAATAAAATAAATATTATCATTTTGCGAATCTATCGTGTTCAGTTTCTCGTTTCATTTCTTCATGGAGATATCAGGAAGTTACGACAACTTTCTCTACCACCTTTTACTTGCGTTTCATCTCTTCGAGACGCAGACAAACTCATGAGCCTCGATGGTGCAAACGAGACTCATTTAACTTCATCCCCTTCTACTTTACTGCTTCGCTCTTGGCTGATAGTAAACAAGCTCAAAGATTGCTGCGAGGCAAAGAAGCGGAACACCCACAACGATGGTAATTTTGCTTTGAAGAGGGTGCGAAATATTTATCCGCGCTGCGCTAAATCTGCCTGTTTCAACGACGTAGTGGACAACAGATTCTTTCTGGATTATCCGTGAGAACGTGTAAGCTCTCCAACAGCTCTGGGAAACGCACGCCCTGATCTTCCACTCAGGACGCGGCAATTTGAATTATCGATTGTTCGAAAGAACTTCAGCTTCCTCGGCAAACTTTTAAACTTGATCGAAACAACAGGGAAAACTTGCCTAATGAATGGTTAATTAAAGTTTGAACGCGATATAATACCAGTTCCGTTAAATGCTTTCGATAAGACAAAAATCAGATAAATTTCAAATAAATACAATCAATTCGCCGTTGAACAACGAACCTCTGGTGTCTGCTAGAGAAAACCGTCTGCTCTATATATAAAGTCCGCAGATAAGTCCGATGAGAACGAGGCAGAAATATTTTCGAGAAATGACTCGACCCTCCTGGGATTAGAACGTATTGTTAGTGGACTGTTTATACGCTACAAGTTATTTATCTTCGTATTTTACTAGTTCGTTTTCTTTTCTTTTATCGATAACTCGGGAAACAATGCGTCCTGTCCTCCTGTACATAGAATCGGATAAATCAGCTGGAAAGTATTGAAAGTCGTAGAGATTGCTTCGATTTAACCTCCGACCTGAATACGGTGTACAATACCTTGACAAACAATCTAACCATAAAGCTTGCATTTATTAGCAAATGCTAGTAACTCTAGATTAAAATAATGCCGCTGAAAAAATAGGACACTCGTTATTTTTCGCTTTTATTAACCTGAAAATGCCAATCGAACGTTTCATCGCGACGAGGAAAAAGACTTATCACTTTGAGATACGTGGACAGTTTATGAGAAAAGAATTTGGCGAAATTCTTTCCCTCTGTTCATGCCATATAGTATTTGCGTGCTTTACATGTGCAATTAACATGTATTATTAATTATAAATTGCTATAACTCGTCGTTAATATTTCAACCATTGATACGTCGAGACGAGCTTGTAAAATGGAAATAGCATAGTGCAATAGCGGTTAACCTAAATCTAACCTACCTAATTCACTATAATTAATTAACAGGTAGACATAAATTCAATTCAACGGTAACAGTAAAAACTCATTGATGAATTTAGTGGTGCAGATGATAAAACAGTGGGCCGGTTAACTTCGATAAATGAGTTCGGTGATGTTAGAAAATAGAGAGGACGCTTGCGCGTTTAAAGAATCATAGAGTTTCACATAGCGGTGTTTGACTCTCCGTGTGTTCGACTTTTTGTCGTACTATGCGTGTGCATAGGTGTGCATTGATACGAACCTTGGAACTTTTGTCCACATGGAGAAGTCACACACTTTCGTTGGTCTTGCACTTGTTCCCTAGCTCACGAAGTAAGTTCATTAACGTGAATGAGGTGTTCCAGGAGAGGAGCCACTCATCGGGGAACGCCTCATGCCTCGAGGACGGCTCTCAGAACCTTCTTATCGTTGCTTTAACACGTCGTTACATGCGAGAAACAGTGGCTCGGCTTGTGTACGTACGTGCAAAGTAATTCAGCGACGAAGTTTTCTAATCTGCTTGCGCAGAGCAGCATCACGCTTCGGACAATATTTGTCGAATCATCGACATCGAAGTGTTTGAAAGTTGTTCTACGTAATTGCTACAATCTTGGATAAGTAATCACTGACTTTCCAATGGAAGTGCAAGTCCAATTTCAATCAAAGCAACGTAGATCGTCGTTCTTGAAAGCATTTTAAAGTACAGTGATAGACAAAAATCTATCAAAATCTAATTTACATTGCAATCTGAATTTAAATATTAAAGATACCTATTTGCAAAACTCGCGATTCTAACTTATACTCCAGTGAATTTAGACATTGTTTTCATTTGGATCGAGTTATGCAGAAAGCTATCAATCTTCAATAATGTAAAATTGAGTAAATTTAATTTGAAGATTTTGACTAGAAAACGAAGCTTTATCTTTATTGGATACATTCTATTTCTTGTTTCTCTGTCTAATTCGATTGGTATAATTTAAGTACTATTTTAAATTTTGCGTAGTACATATGAAATGATATTATAAAGTTTCATCAAAGTTAAGCTTGAAATAAGATTACAGCATTTTTAATAACTGCATAATTGTGAGAGCTGTTCCATGAGTTAGTAAGTTTTTGTAAAATAAAGATTATAAAATTATGGAATCGTGAAATTGTGGAAATTGCGTTAAACTAATTTTTTGCTTTTTCGAGAATCTCCAGCTATTTTGCGTAACTTTATCCTTAGTCCATTTTTGCGTAACTTTAACCTTAGTCCATTTACTGTGATTGTGAATATCGTATCTAACCATCGGTTTGATTTCGTGGCGATTAATCCTTCGAAGTTACTTTAATTAGCTTAATTTCGATAAACAGACAGTTTCAGATACAAGTTGTTTCATTTGGCGTGTACATGCCGATTCTGTTAAAGACAAGACGATTAACTTGATCCTTGCCATTCAAGAGAGAAAATGAAGTCAAATCAAATGAAATCGCTCTCGATCGCAGACCGATAACCGACAGAATCTGTTTTCCAGATCGTAACAAGATAAAGACATTCGACGTGTAGGAAGCCATAGAGAATTCGAAAGACTATGGAAGCTTCTCGCGCGGAAAGTTTTCCTTCAAACGAGATTTCAAGATGGGAAGTTTGCTGAACGATCACGAAACGTTTTCCCAAAAATAAAAGTTTCAGCTTGTAAGGCAGCCGCCCGGCGGCGCTTCCTCCTCAACGTGTTCTCGATTTAATTTTAGCACTTACGATTCAGTCCACTCGCGAGTTCCATCGAGGCGAAATCTACTACACGTACACGCAAAATCTATGCCGCGGCGTACGCTTCGTACGTACGTTGATAATTCGAAGACAATAAAATATTCCAAGCCGAATATTCCGTCTCTCGTCTCTTGTCAAAGTGTTTCCCTCACTTCGTCACAAGTGTTTCCTTCACATTTTTTGCAATGGCTTGGATAAACAGTGATCGTGATTGTTTGTACTCACGTGCTTTATAACGTATGTATATAATACATATGTGTCTTATGACGCATATATGTATATACTTCATAGTTTTAAGGTCGAAACGTGGGTGAATGTTGCAACGGTTGTTAAACCTTTATTTTCCGCGACGAGAATTCATCGTCTCCGATATTCGTTTCACGTAAGAAATTATTATAAACATTCGGAGACGCAATTCGCGTGGGTCAACGTGATTTCCTTCGCCGTGCCATTGCTCAAGAAACGTCCACAGGCTCCGGTACAGTGTGGTCCAAGAATATCCACATTGCTCGAGGCACGCAAGGGCAGCCAAAAGTTCAACATCCTCGACGAGAGCAACGTTTGCTTTCTCCTAAGTACCTCTAATCACACTACAAACATCAAACACGTAATACCTAGTACACTCACGTAATTACGATTTCCCCGAAACTCGCAAAAAACCTCGGAGAACAATTTAAAAATAAAAAGAAAGAAAAAAAAAGAAAAGAAAGTACCTCGTGCTCGTCCACGTTGACTCCAATGGCGGCAGAAATCGCGCTGTCTCATCTGCGACGGAAAACTTTCGCGGCAGATTCGAATTTAACTCGAGAGATCGACTGTCCTCTTAAATCGTGAACCGTGTTAGGAAAACGCGACACGTAGGTGGTTCGATTAAAAAAGAGAAAAGAAAAGAAAAAAAAATAAATAAAGAGCGGGGGAAAACAAAACGAGCGGCGGGAAAGGCTGAAAGGAAGGAAAAAATGGTTGCGCTATACAGTCGACAATCAGCCACGATGCAAATTACGGGTATTCATAACTTAACGTGCGCGCTACCGGGCTTTTAAGCGGACGTTAAAGCCGCCCCCGGCTTTTATTTCACGTCGCGTAATCCGGTTTCCCGCTCGCACGTGACGTTCTTTTTCTCGTAAATTTCGCGCCAAATGATTTTCGCGCCATGGAAATCATTCGCGCTGTTTTCGTTGCTTCATGAGTTTGATGAACGTGGTAAACTGAAACACCTTCCACGAGCCTCGCTTCCTCCCCTCGTCCCCCAGGACACTGTTCTTTCTAACTTTTCTGTAACTGATGATAGGTCGCATTAATCGTTGCTAATAGAAACGTCGAAGGATCGACAGCTCCTACAAACTATTCAATGAATAACAGCTTCGTTTCGTGTTGTTTCGAGCCTTTTTTTTATTCCACTGCATTCTCCGTAAATCAACAATGAATTCGGCGTCAATGCTAGAGTGAACGTAGCAATGCAATTTATACCACTGAAAGTTGAAAACATTTAGACAGGATCCGGCCGATTGATATGTAGAAATTATTCTTTTTGAACAAATAAAGGAAAGAAATGTAACTCGGAAATTACATTTCGCAGTTGAACAATAGGATTTAGCGAACACAGCCTTATTTCTTCATTTCATTATCCCGTTTATCATTTGAATCCACGAATACAACAACACGTCTCTGTTTCCAAGGAGCATCGTTCCAGAAAGTGTATCACTGTGCATCGTTTCGACATTTTTGTTTAACAACGGCAACGCCATAAATCGCCGGTAGAAAAATATGTCTGATAGAAACTGAAGGGAATCGCGAGTTTCGATGTGAACGTGCGTAAAGTTTACCAACAGCAGAACCGTTCTATTTGGAGCGAAAATAGAACGCTCTCTCCAACTGTCTCTTTTTCTCTTGGCGCACACGAGCATTCACCCTCGTTCGACCCAAGAATATCCCGCTGGAGAACAGCGTCGAGCGGGAAGAACCTTTCCTTGCCTTGTAATCGGCATCAAGCAGTGCAACGCGACGTCGACGAAACCGAAACCGCGTAGTCTGTTTCGTAGCTTGTGAAATATACTTGAAGAGCTTATACACAGCGGCCCAAAGACAGAGTCGTCACAAGCTGGTGAAACTGAAGAGCCTGCATTCTCCATTTTGTTTCGTCTATTTAGAATAGTCGTCGCGCGAGTGCAAAGCTACGGAATCTTAAGCGAACGCTTAAGTGCCTTTACGTCGAGCGAAAGTTCCCGAACGCAAATATCCTCGTACAGATTCTTCTCTTTCATTGTTCTACGAATATCACGTTCAACCGTAACGCCAAAATAATCCTTCTTCATCGAGAAAAATAATAACTCCTCGTTCTATGTCATTTAGACGATTAAAATGTTAGTGAAAGTACAATATGAACGAATGACATCGAAACACAGCTGATTTCGAATCTTCAACCAACGCTAAAGTTCTGCGAAAGTCGAAATCTTCGGCAATCAGGCGAGAGCATCTCCCCTTCGCATCCGGCGCAAGGACGGAAGCAATTGCAACGGTGAAAAATTATTTTTACTCCGGCAAAACGGTTTCGGGCCCGCGTGACTCGGTCGAAAGAGAGTCGAGCCCGAAGGTGGAACGGTGAAAATCCATTGCTACGGTTTCCGGCTGTCCACCAATCGAACAAATGTCGAGGATGCTGCGACTGGAATTGTTCGGACTTGTGTTGCTGGCCTGCACCCAGATCCTCACGGAACACCGCAGTTTTTACGACACCGTACCGCAGTACGGCTACTCCAGGCTACCCGATGTTCCGGAGCGCACCAGGGAGGTACGCGTCAAACAGGGTCGTTTACGCGGAATCGTGGTGCAACCGAGGACCGCCTACGATCTGCAGCCGGTCGATGTTTTTCGAGGTGAGCATTACAATTGAAAATAATTTTCGTGCGCGCGCAAATGCGGTACGGATTGTACAACACAATCTGTAAATTAATTTTGTAAATTAAACACATGCCACGTTCCATTTAACGATATTCGTTGCTAAACAACAGTGATAATTATCTATATCCATTCGTTGGCACGCACGAAATAAAAATGAAACAAAAATACACTCTAGTCATTGCCAAATAACAGCGGTAATTGTCAACACTCGTTGAAGTGAAAATGAAATGAAGAGAACACGTCTTGCTAATAATTTCACACTGCTTGCTAATAATTCTATATGGCAACGACACTGATTATCGTAGAATTTCGAAATAACATATAATTTTTGTGCATCTATTTTTAATCGATGTCTGAATGATTTAGAGAAGGAAAACGATTCGCGCGCGGCAAAAAATTGATTCGAGCTAATGAAATCAGTTCAGAATTACTGTTTAACATAGTATGTAGGAAATTGTAAAATTTCAAGATTAATCGCTGCAAGATGAGTGATAACGATAGACCGAATTGATAAATTGTCAAACTGTGTTATTCAAATGTTTCATCGCAATACGATACTGTTTTTTCAATGTAACACGTAATTAGTGCTTGAAACAATATTGTAATAAAAGAAATATATTCGTTATTGAGCAATAAATATATTTTTGAGAGAATTTTCAGTAATAAACGCAATGATAATGAAGAACGCAGAAAATGAAAGCAAATTAATAGCCAGAAGGGCTATCAAAACATTGTTATTACCGTTATTCATCCAATGTATGTACATCTGTACATCATGATAAACTGCAACTGAAAATTACATGTGGAGTACGAAATTCTCAAAATAAACCGCGGAGAGTGCTTTTTGCGTATGTTAACAATAGTTTAAAACTCAGTAGTTGAATAAATAAATATTGAAAAAAAGAGATTAAAGGCTTATTTTGATAATATGAATATAAATTGTAATATAAGGAGAAATATACGTTAATTCTACGAAGGTCACAGTAGAATATGTGTGGATACGAATTTGGAAAAAAGTTCTCTCTCTCTCTCTCTAAACGCTCTTAGGTTCAGGTTAGGCGCTGGTTTCCAGATTCTTAGACGCTCTGTGTGTCTGTGTGTGTGTCTAACTTCTTTCTTTACTTTTCTAACATTCTACAATACTAGTTACAATATCTCTGTGCTGCGGGGATACTAATACTTCAGTAGTATCAAAATGGGAAGCGCGCAGGTTATTTCGGTAGTAGACACTCCTTATGGTTCTTGGCCGCTTGAGCACATGCACATTCACCGGCAAAGCGGAATCGAGCAGAGTTTGTACTTTCGCGAGTTCCCTGAGATCCTCTGACATTCCTTGGCATCGACTACTCAGAGTTCGCTAGCGTTTCCGCGCGTACAAACGGTTCCGTTCGAGCAAGGAATGGTGTCGAGGGAGTATAGGATAAATTAAGGATAGATTCAGATTTGCCTAGCCATCAAATTAGCTCGGGGATTTAAAATAGATGGCAAGGGAAACGTATTCGTTTTCAGAATTAACAAAAATTCGATTTCATTCGGTTTAATGAAGAATCAGAAACGTTAAATAGCATGACTACATTCCTTCAGATACAATGAAATATTTCTGATACTTCAGAGAAGAAACTGAGGAGCTGAAGATTTGAAAAAATGAACGTGCAAACACAATATGGAAGATTATTTCATATTATTTCAGAACACATTGAAGCCAACGTACGAGAGTGTAAATTTAAATACAAGTTATTTATAAATTAAAATAAGATTTAAAGAATGAACGTGTAAATGCAATACGGAAAATTATTTTATAATATAATTCTCTGTAATATAAATATATTGAAACCAATGAAAGAACGTGTAAGTCCAAGCAGATTATTTAAATTTCCACTGCTTTCAATTTTAAACAAATTTCGACTATTGGTGTAAATCGTTGAAGAACGTTCAATCGCTGCGATCGCGAATTTCAAACTGGAGATGTTTGCAATCAAATTTCCGATTTCTACTTGCTTAGCCGGACGAATTTAGTATTTTACGTCGAAAAGCTACTAACCTGAGCTGAGAACCCAATTTACACGGAAATAGGATAAAATAGATCAACCGTGATCCTTGCCGCCAAGCTGAAGAGTGTTAACACATTGAACGCGAGACGAACGCGATCAATTTAATCGATCCACTCGCGGCGCAATAAAACTTTACAGTGATTACCTCGTCGCTGACGATTCGCTCTGGCTACAACTCTGCTTCTTCGGCCAACAATAAGAACCATCGCGAATCTTTCGACGTGCAATTTCCCGCTCCTCGGAAAAACCTTTCTAATTTAATACCAAATTGGTACCATCGGATACTAGGAGTCGTAAAAATTTAATGCTGAAATTTTTAATTTGTTTCAATTTTATTGCCAGTCACTCTGAAAGAGGATGTAAAATGCAAAATAAAAATAACTTGATTAAAATTTTTGTAATATAATATCGAGTGTGGATTTTTGTGCATGTTTAAGTTTTAGTAGACATTTCTATTCGCTACATACTTATGTATTCTATATATATCATTATATGCATTATTTGCATCATCCAATTTCCCATAAATGCAAAAAAAAATCCACAATCTAATAATACGAGTTACTACAGTCAATTGACTATAGTCATAACTACACAATATCAGTCGAGGATTCGTAAATAACTGTCCAAATTTAAAATTTTTCAAACTTCTGATTCAGATCAATCGTTTAGCGATTTATATTCAATTTATATCCAATTTATTTCGAAACGAATTTGTCGTGAACACGATATCAGTTATTGAAAACAACTTGCACTTCTCTAATCAATCAACAATGACCCAATGTTTCAGGAGTTCCGTACGCAGAGCCACCGATCGAGTCCTTAAGATTCTCTCCTCCAAGATCACCGGAACCATGGCGTGGTTCACGACAATTTCAAGAATTCGCGCCTGTTTGCCCTCAATTGTTGCCGAACTTGCAAGACGAAGTGAAACCAGTTAGATACGAGTACCTAAAGAAGCTTCTGCCATACCTAGTGAATCAGAGCGAAGACTGCCTTTACCTCAACATCTATACACCCCATCAACCTGAAGGTAAGCGAACTGAAATTAATTGTTTCGAAGATCGATGATAGTCGAATATCGAGCGTTCATTCGGCTAGAAAGTAGATGGCGAATTGAAAACTATTCGTTCCATTATCCAGAATACTAGAAAATGTTCTTTTTTTTCCTTCGATCGTCTGGAGAATTAATAGAGAAGCAGTTACGATTTAAAATCGAATGTAAAAGAAGTACGGTGTGGTCCAATAACTTTGTCCACCTTGAATATTTTTTATTTATCGACAGTAATTGATAATAAAAATAAAACAAATTCTATACGTTATGAGGACATAACATGAACCCATATTTCAGGCAATTTACCTTTTTTTTAACGAAATGCTGCAGTTTTTTTTTTTTTTTTTTTTTTTAGTTTTGGGACGAGATCATTCAAAGTCAAATGCGGTTATAAAATGATCTTTATATCCTTCTTTGCCCCATAAAAAGAAATTCGTATATAAAATTCTTTCATATTACTACGAATATAATGAAAATATTCAAGGTGGACAAAGGGATTATTATTGTACTGTATAAGAGAGACTATAAAGAAGTTAACAAAATTTCTTCATTCCCCTCTATATTAGCCAAGTATTTAGATATTAGTTTTATGGATCAGCTTCGGATTTACGATGCCGAAGGGTATATATTTTTTGCTTTAGCGCGGTTTATGATCGTAGGTTATGACTGTTAGACGACGCTAAAGGAAGATTCGTGGACGATAATACCGTGAGTTGTGTGGATATTTAGAATATAAAAAGAGGGAGGAATACACGACGGGGTAAACAGTGATTCAGAGTCTCTGTACTCTTGACGCTTTGCCAAGAAATAAGAGGGGAAATGTTTTTGCACAGCAAAAGTATTTATCTAAAAGACAATTAGAGAACAGGATACTTTTAGCCACGTTTCATCTACTTTCGGAGTAGATCCGAATTTCGAATCCATGTTTAACTTTCTCCACGATAAGATTCCGCGAATCTACTTACATCCTGTTTTATCTATCACTTCCGATTTATCGCTGGTAATTAACCTCGTTGAACAACAAATTTGCATGCAATCCCAAATACTTTACAGATAAATCGTCACCGTTTTATCAATCTTCGGCACTCTTTCATCCTTTATCTTCGAAATTGTTATCTATGAGTTATCTATTCAGTTTTCGTGTCGTTAGGCAATTTTATTGTGAATATAGGAAAACGAAAAATGAATTTTATAATAATTTAATCGATTGTATTTAAATTCTGACATGTTTGTGACCGGAAAGAGTAAAACGTAGCACTATACAAAAAAACTTCTGGCAATTCACGAATATTCGTTTTGAGCAATATTATATTATGAGAAAATGTTGTCACACAAGTGACATAAATATATGAAGCAGTATTTTAAAATCAGAATACGAAGGATTCTTTAAATAACATGTATTAATGTTTAAGATAAACCAATGGAACCGCCATGGAGTCCCATTTAATTTTAAATTAACAATTTTATCACGCATGATACAATTTTCATCATTATTTATGTCACCCTTTATTCTTTTATATTGAACTATTTATTCATCAATTCGATATAAATTAAACACAAACTCCAACTACTGAACGAAAATTGAAAATCCACAAAGGTTGGATATCATCGAAAGATTGAAATATCTTTTCATCCATTCTGGAAAATTGCGTTCCGAAGTAGCGTTTGTTGCGCACGGCTATGAATATCCTTCAGCATTTTTCGAGCACAATCTCTCCTTTTGTTATCGAATATTTCCAAAATTCCTAGATATTCCACATCTATCGGAGCTTGAATTCTTTCCATTCCAACATATTAAAAAGAAAAAAAAAAAAAAAAAAGAAAGTTACGGTTCGAATATTGTTATAATATCTATCTTGATTGTAGTAGATGTTTTTCGGTTTATTAAAAAAGAGAGAGAGAGAGAGAGAGAGAGAGAAAGAGAGAAGCTACGATCACGCGACGTTTTCACGGTAGTTTCTGGGATTGTTCAGTGAGCTGGTTACGCGAAACACGTACATTCGACGATACCTTTCGTCGACAATTTCGTCACATTCAGAGGCGCAGCAGATGCATCAAATGGACGCATTGTTTTCGCTGCAACGAATCGAACCGTTTTGCGAGACGGTGCTATCTCCACTAGATTACACATTACCAGAATGCAACAACCGTTTTCTTAAAATCGTCTCCTTTCGATAAATAAGAAGTACCCCGTTCAATTCTCCAGTAGGAATCCAAATTCCGCTAGAAATGCGATATTAAAATTCACGATAAAGGAAGTAGCTGTCGTTCCGCTTTGGGCTTCATATTGGATTTCCTGTTTTCTTGGAGTTGAATGTTCTTTGCTCGCAGTGTCACGGATACGCATCGAAGGACACATTGTTGACGCAACAATCTTAGAAGCTTCGCGCAAAACGAATCCTGATTTAATCCTGTTGTCAAGGGTGTAATGTATTTGTGCAATTGAAAAAACGAGGGGGGGGGGATAATTCTCCTTTTGAGAAGTATATACGATAATAATATTTCTTTTCCCGATTCTCTCCAACAACGTGAATTATTCCAAGTCACGAGAAATTTTCTAGGTCAAAGGTCGGATTATGTTGAACACCACTTGGTCACTTCTACATTTGAAAATCCTGGGAGTTTTTACAAAATATAATTTTCTTTACAAGGGACAGAGTATTAATGAAGAAAAACACAAAAAGATCAATCACAATGGGCTTTCATCGTGTTCTATAAGATGTCGATGATCACAAGTAACATTATCAGATTGCAGATATTCAAGCATATCTCATATAGAAATTGACAAATGTAGAAAAAATTGCTCTCCAATATTACCAAGTATTACAAGAAGTAGTATACTTTAGATATTTCACACAATATTTCATACTATGTGCATTTTGTGGAACTTAAATCTTTGAAAAACGCAAATGAAAATTCAAAATGCAGTCTGAACAAACAAACAAAATAAGAAAAAAAAAACATTTTCATGCGTAGTCACTGTCCTCTTCGTATCTCTGTTTCTCTGACGTTCAAAATGAAAATCATTCGCCAATTAATCAAAAGAAAATGGAGTCGTTTGTACGGAGAATGAAGGCAAACACTTTTGATCGCGATCGATGAACAGACGCCGAAAAATTATCAAAAAGGATGATTGACGTACAATTGCGCGTTGACGCGCGTGCGATGAATTCATCCGTTTCCCATACTTCTCCCTCGGCCGGTTCGAGAAGTTAATTAAAAGTAATCTCTCGCGTTTGCGACGAGCCGTTAATTATGGGAGGGGAGGAAGCGCGGAGCGCGACACCAATTATCCCCTCGAGGATTACTAGAGATTTTCTTCCTCTTGTTCCTCGTCGGCGTTGCTGCCGGTTTCCGTTTTTTTTTTTTCTCTCTAAATTCGGTCAGTCCGTTTCGCAGATAACCGTAAAAATTAACCGAGGGAAGATGTATTTTGCCCGTATCATTGCCTGTATGCGCTGAACCTTTCCCTCTGGCGAGAGTCGAATAACGATAACGTAGTTATCGTTACTTTAATACCTTCTCCATCTACTTTAGAATTTACCAATTTTCTTCACGTTGAGAACATTACGCGCAAAGTTGCGGCGAATCAACGCGAATATATGAGAAAGATACACGTTCCCGATTGGCTGGAAATAAATTAACCTGCGGCATAATGAACGAATTGAAAGGGAAGTTGTTTGAGATCTGTTGCTAAGTAATTTCCAGCCAAACATGTTTATCAACCGTTCCGGAAGAAAGGTTCGTTCGTTGCGGCGAGTTTCGTAATAAGGGATCATAAATTATAGCCGTTATCTGTCGCAGCCAGCGGCTAATGAACGCGAGATCGGACTCCTCGTGATTTTGAAGAGCCCCGAATTTGACTTGGAAATTATTCTTCCCTATATTTGTTTCCCCCTTGGAAAACCGCGGAACACGATCATAGATCGTAGACGAAATTCATCAACAGTTTGCTCTGCGTAATTCCAACGATTAAACGTTCAAACATTCACACGATGCCTCGGACATCAGAAATATATTCCACTGAAAATCACCTCGAACGTGAACCGTCCGATTTCAAGATTTCCCCTTCAGTTTCCTCGAGACGGTTTTGCGAAAGATGCAAAACAACGAGGAACTTGCTGAATCCGTTGGAGAAAATACGAAAAGGCTGATGAAAGATGCACCGCCGTTGCAAATAAATTGGAACCGTCTGGCCACGGGTTAGAGGGGCTGTTCTCGGGAAGATATATACGCTCTCTTAAATACTGGAACCGCCGCGACACTGGAAACAATGGTGGAGGAAGCTACTTTGAAAGAACGGACTCGCGATAGAACGAAGATCCCCACAGCCCTTGAAAATATCGGGAAATTCATTAACGCCCGATCCGCGGGATTCGATCGAATAAATTTCATTTGGCGGATGAAAATTTACAGCGACACGCGATACTGTGAAAATGAAAACCGTCACCAGCCTGCTGCTGCTGCTTTTCAACGATTCCCTCGTGTTACCAAGATGTTGCCGGTCTTCGTTCTCGCTGTGGCAATTCGTTTAAAAGCGTGGAATGTATAAGAATGGCTTTTTTCCCCATTATATTTATTCTTATTTCTCAGAAAGATCTCTTCTAATACGTCTTGATATTATATTTCTACTTGCTTTATAGAACAAACACGCTGTTCATTATGGGACATATTGCTGAATAATTAACCAGGAGAGAAAGACATAGGTTGAGAATGGTCTCCACACAATGATTTCAGTTTTTTCTCGAATATTCTAGCATTTTGAGATTTGAAACCACAAATTTACATAGTTTTCGTGTACATAAATATTCACGCTCGAGAGTATGCGACAGATGTATGGCTCGAAATTATTACAAGCTCTTACTGAAAATTTTTGATCGCAACGAAACTTCCTGCAGAGAGTTTTGAAAATTTCGAAGCCAGACATCGCATGGCCGAAAAAGAGGCAAAGGATCCGGAAATAAATTTCCAACGAAATT